TAGCTGAACGCAGGATGGTGGGAGGCAGTCGGTTTATGGCGAGGGGACACGAAGACCCCAGGACTGAGCCTCGTTTCTCCTCCTTTTAGGGCCATTGTTACTACCACGGACGTGTGCAAGGATATCCTGGTTCGACGGTCAGTGTCAGCACCTGTTCTGGTCTCAGGTGAGTGACCTTGACAATGGCAGCTCTGGTCCTAAGCACAGCTCTCACGGACCACCTCCTTCTCCAGTCGCTCTAAAGCAGTAGAATGAGCGACGGGCCTCCCCTCCACCTGGCAGGACCAAGGGCCCCTCCAGTGACAACTCTGACAACTTGAGTGCCCCCCATCCCCCTGTGTTCTCCTCCCCCCATCTCAGCTTCTCCTTCGCTGCTCCTCTCTCAAGGCTGTTCTCAGGCCTGGAAGGTTGGCTGGGTTTCAGCATCCAAGGATTTGGGGAATATCTTTTGTTTTTGTGGCTCGATGCTAAACAATTCCTGGTGTTAAAAAATAGACATTAGCTATTAGCATTTAAGCTGCTTTCTTAATAAAAATAAAAAGGGCTTCTTCTCACGAGGAGACAGAGTGAGGGGACGGATGAGCACAGGTCCAGGTGAGCCGAGCCCGAGGACCAGCCCCTCTTCCCTCACATGCAGCCCCCCTTCCAGTTACAGGAAGGAGCCACCGTGGACTCGTGGGCTTCCCGGGAAAACCAGTTTGTTTGACAGATTTCCAGCCGCCTCAGCCATTTTTACTGGCTTTATTTGTTGAGTTTGTGAACTAGTGGCTTGTGTCCTCAGAGTCCTGCTGGGCACTGGCCTGTGGCACCAGAGCGCTGTGTTGTAGACAGAGGGGGGCCTGGGAGTCCCCAGCCTGGGGGCCTCGCGGGGCTGTGAGTCTGAATGCGGCCACAGAGAGGAGGCCACTGTGCACACAACGTGCACATCACACACACACACGCAATATACCACACACACCACAGCACACACACCAGATTCTGCCGAGCATCTGACTCTTGGTGACAACCTCCCGTCTCCCACCTGGAGAACGTTCCCTCATGGCTACCTGGCACAGACCTCGGCTTGGCAGGGAGGAAGAACGTGAAATCCTTGTGGCTGGGATTTCAGGAAGAGTCAGAAGAGTGAGTGCTGCGTCGTCTGGTGCAGACCACTGAGACGGGGTGGGGACACTGACGGGGCACGCTGTCCGGGGGCGGCGCTCCTGAGAATTTAAACTTCCCAGCTTTTTGTGCTGTTGTTGCAAAAGCAGCAGACCGTGCATCAACAGAGAAATTCCGGAGTTATTTAGTCAGCTTTGTGATCTTGCAAGGAGAGAGTCAGACCAGAGACAAAGCTGTGTTCGATCAACTGCTCCCTGGCAGAAGAATCAATTGAGAGTAGGAATAAAGGGGGAAAAATGCAATGAGTGTAGCACCAGCCTAGCAGATTTTCAGAAAGGAAACAGGGTTAAAAATGATGTGAAAGATGGTGTGACTCCCCCGCCCCAAATACATTCAGATCTAGGAATGTGGAGGAAAACTCAAGTGTCCTCGGGGACGCATTCATTAGGGCCCCGCAGATTAGAGTTTTGCAGAGAAAAGCAGAGAAGGAACATCCTGCTTTGCTTCAAAAAGGCTGATCAAAGGTGGACAGGCGAGCAGAGCTCTGTCCTGGAGGAGAGGAGAGAGGAGGGAAGCGGACAAGCCGTCCTTCTTCATCTGAAGCTTGAAGGGGGAAAGATAGGGAGAGAGAAGCACACGGAGATCCCAGAAGAAAGGATGAAAGAGGAAGCAGCTCCTGCACGGAGGGAATGGAGTGCAGTGTGGAAAACAGGCCATAAAAACGAGTGCGGCCGAAAAGCTCACACTTTGAAAGGACTCCGAGTCAAACGGGAAGCTCAGGCCATGAGTTAGCTTTGTGCTGTATCGCGTGGCTCCCCAAGATGCTCGGCCCCCGTTAGCACAGTTTCAGCGCAGTGTTGGTGGTTCTCCTGGTCTCTCCCGTCTGCTCTCGCTGCTTCCTGCCTCGCCCCCTGCCCCTGGGTTCCTGAGCCCGCGGGCATCCCTGAGAGCATCCGGGGCTCCTCGGCACTGTCTGCCCAGGGACAAGCTTGCATCGATGGGTAGAGGATTCTTCCCCTCCGCCCCAGAGTCGCTCAGCTGCTGTTTCGTGCTGGGACAGACGTCCAGCCCTGGCTCGCTCCTCCTGGGGCATCCAAACAGCCATGTCCCTGTGTCCTGATCTGATTCATAAACACCACCTTCTCACTGTCTTCCAGCTCCCCAGCCAGAGCATGAGCTCCTTGAGAGAAGAGACTCCTTATTCTCTTGCTCCGCCTTCAGCTCCTGCTCGGAAATCGGACACAAGGAGTCTCAGGGGCTGACACTTTTGGAATAAGCCAAAGGTCCTCCCATCACCTGCGGGCATAGTGGTTAAAATCAGGCTGAATTTCTCAGGGAACTACCTGTGCTTTGACAGACGTAAGCCAAGCATTCACCTAATAGATGAGGAACCTGGGATCTAGATTTGTAAACTAGGTATTGGTTGTAATAATCATGTCACTTTTAAATGGGGTTTAGGGTACCTGAGCACAAGGTGTGCACACGCTCACACTTATGCACCCCTACGTTCACGTATGCTGTGACACGCAGGCACACACACAGGCACACACGTCCACTCGCACATTTCCCGGGGTGGTGACGACAAGCAGGCGACGCCAGGCTTTGCTTTCGTCGTCATCACAATTTCTGCTCTCAGGAGGACGGGGCGGGTGGTACTGGCACTGCTGCGCAGAGCAGCTGCAGCTCGGTCACCAGGCGCCTGGTCCTGACGCCGCAGCTCGGAGCTGCAGCGTCTCCTGTCAGGTCATGCCGTCACCCCCTCCCTAGTCACAGCTGCCGTCTCAGGAGAGAGGCATCTCGGCGTTTACACGGAGGCCTTGCACGTCCTCATGTGATGCGCACTAAGCCGTAGGCGGGTAGCACACGCCTCAGACTACGGACGGGGAAGTGAAGGCTGGGAAAGCGACTTTCCCAGAGTCCCTCAGCTGTGATGGGCCGAACTCCACCTCAAACCCAAGTCTAGCTGCCTCCTCGGTCCATACTTGCTCCACTAAACCTTTTGCACAATTTGCATCCAACCTTCTTTTATTTTTATTAACCTTTTTTTTTAACTGAAGTACAGTCAGTTTACAATGTTGTGTCAGTTTCTGGTGTACAGCACAATGTTTCAGTTGTACAACCTTTTTCTGCCCCATTGTCCTGTACCCTGAGGAAACCCCCCCTATTCCAGACACACTGTTTTCTAGCTATTGCCAGAACACGCCCACACACACATCTCACTGCCTTTATCCCTGCTGTGCCTGGGCCCAGGACACACTCCTCTCACCACCTCTCATCGGCTTTGGAAGGTCTACTCTCCCATCAAGGCCCAAATCAAATGGCGCCTCCTCTGTGAAGCCCACCCTGGCTTCTCAGACACTCCTCACCACGCAGCTCAACCCTACCTGGCCTGCACTGCCACAAACAGTCTGTGCTTACACAGCACAGTTCCTGTAGCAGAGCAGCCAGTTCACGTGTGTTTACATCCCTGTGTTAAGGCACGCGTCCTTCCTTGGCCCACTGACCGTCAGTTACCATATCTTGCGGTTTCACTACCCTGTTGTCAGGACCTTCAGGACGGGGAACATGTCCAATATGTTCCTTCCAGGCCTTGGAGCTCTTAGCACTGGCCTTCGATGTGGGAGGCAGCACAAGTTGCTTTTAAAAACACGCTTTAAATAAAAATATTCAGATGCAAGTTTATTTGGTTCCTGATAAGTACACACACTACTGTGTTCCTTTAAGGTCTTGCCTTGATTTTGATTATGTAATATGAAGGTTACGGCACTAGATTTTATATAACAAAATCAGATATAACACAGAATGCGAGAATACTTCTTGCCCCCACACTATTGAAAATTAGTCAATCAGCTTAGGTTTAAAGGGTAGAACTGGCCAGTATTATGGTCCCTGGAATGAGAAATGACCATTCCAGTGAAAGGAGTGATTTGCAATTTAGGGAAATGAGTGAGAGGGGGCGAAGTGAGAGCTGGGAAATGAGCCGCAGCCCTCCGGCAGGGCCAGCCACACCGAGGATGCGTGGGTTCCGGTCCTCCCCGCGCCTCGCAGCTCAGCTGGAGTGTTCGCTAATGTGGGTGCAGGTGGGTTTTCCACATCTCAGCTCAGCCTGAATGGCCTGCAGCAAAGTGGTTTATGGGACCAAGAAGTCAGGCACATAGAGATGACCTCGCCCTTGCTGTCTTGTCTGCTAGCCTGAGCTCCAGGAAGGCAGGGCCCTGGCCACCCTAGCACTGCCTGGATCCTGGCACCTTATAGGCACTCAGTAAACACTGGTGGAATAAATTCGCTCTCCCCGAGCCGTCAAGTGGTCAACGAAACATAATGCCAGCCAGTCCAAAATTTTAAAAAGTCTTTTAAGTTTAGTAGATCATGTTAAGAAAGAAATTAGCTTACAGTGGAGGTGAAGTTAATTTGACCTTGACCTCTGCTCTGTGACCTTCTGCTCCTTCAGCGCCCGTCACGGCTACGCTGGCTCCCCTCACCCCACCAGCCACACCATCTCTGCCGGGGCTCTCTTTCCCCTTTCCTCCTCCTCCTCCCTCGGAGATATTCATCCGTCATCCTGTGTGAACATCTGTGGGAGCCCATCTGCACCATCTCCAAGCTGCTCTGGTCCCCACCCTGAAGGACGCCCAAGGTCAAGTCTCAGCCCTCCCAGGCCCCACTCCACTCAAAACTCGGGCTGTCCAAATCCCCACTCCTCGGTCCCCAGACCGCTCCTGCCCTGAATTCTTTTCCATTAAAGGCCCAGCCCATCTCAGGCTCCTAAGCTTAGTCCCCGGGGGTCTCTGACAACCTCCGCAGGCACCCAGCCCTGGCCCGCTCCCTGCTTACAGCATCTCTTTCGTCCACTCCCTCTCCCCCTGTTTCCCCGTCACCTCCCCAGAGCAGCCCTCCCTCCAGGATTTGTAAACTGCCTCCCACCCATACTTCCCACCTCCTCCCTTCCCTCCACAGCCATCGTGCGCATTCCAGAAGGTCGTGTTTCAAGAACACTGTGTGGTCATAAGTCCCACCACCCTCGGCTCTCAGAGCCGCGTGGCTCAGACACTGGTTCAGCAGTGT